TGCTCTCTCCCTCTATTTGTTATCTTACTTCTATCATTGACAGTCCCTCTAGGTTGTGGGCTGCTTGCCTGTGTTCCTGAGAAGCATCTACGGTACCAGTCTATAGAGTGTGTTTTCTTTAGTGAATTACCGGTATGTTTACCGGTAATAAACTTGCACTGTTTTATGTATATGTTTGATTACATACAGCCTTGTGACAGTTTTCCTGCATGTCATAAGCATTTGAATATAAATTAAAATGTTAAAATCAAATCTGATATTGTTTTACCTTTTATTTGGTGTGTGGAAAGTGTGCGGAAGAGGGGGTAGTCTTATACGGCGAGTATATAACAAACTCTGTATTTTGAGTGGAAATGTTAGGGGGTCGTCTTATACGCCCAGTCGTCTTATACGCCGGCAAATACGGTAACTATAAGTTATTAAAATCTCTTACTTTGTAAATTTCATAAAAATATATGACCATCCGAAGATAATACTAGGGACCCTCCCAGGATTTTGGAAAAGGTTTGACTTGTAAAGGGTCATGAAGTTTAAACTTTTTTTTTTTTTAAATATATTTTATTGATTTTTTACAGAGAGGAAGGGAGAGAGATAGAGAGTCAGAAACATCAATGAGAGAGAAACATCGACCAGCCGCCTCCTGCACATCCCCCACTGGGGATGTGCCCGCAACCCAGGTACATGCCCTTGACCGGAATCGAACCTGGGACCTTTCAGTCCGCAGGCCGACGCTCCATCCACTGCGCCAAACCGGTTTTGGCAAGAAGTTTAAACTTTATTAGCTTAGAGATAATCTGCTTTATCCATCTGCTTTCCACCTTCCAACATTTTGTTGAAACCATTAGCCCCATATTCCCTTCTCTGTTCTTTGTCCTTGTGGCATTACACTTGTTTTATACCCATACTGTCATTTTAGTGAAGCTTTGAAAGGAGAAATAGACTCATCTTCACAACGTGTTTAATTACAAGACTTCATTTTATATTCAATTTTTGGGCAATGATTTCAAATAACTCAGTAATGTATATGGTTTGCACCATTAAACTACTGACATGACTTCACTATAACTAGTGATTGCATCTTGTTTGTTTTGTTTTTTGTTCTTAAAGAAAAGATTTCCACAAATGTAAATGCAGTTATGGCCTAAGAAGTTGATTAGTGGCCTTTAAAAAAAGTGACTGCATACTTTTCAGTCTTCTTCTTCATATAAGCCTTACTGTTTGTAAAATAATCTGTACAGACATACCTTTATAGGAAGGCTTAGGTATTCTCATGCATAAATAATATTATGGATGGGAAAAGATAACTTAAAAAAAGAAAGAGAATGAGTAAAAGAAAATGATAGCTGGAAAATGGTAGGTTTTGATCTATATATAACATTAGGAGTAAGCAAAAGTTTTAAAATTTATACTGGAATCCCTCCTGAACTAGAAATAATTATAAAAATAAAAATAAATATTTTCAACCCTGAGATTACTGGGAAAACTGAATTTTAAGGTTAAGACAATGTGCTTACTTAAACCATAGGCTAGATTTGATTAAACAAGTTCTGACATGCAAATTAAATTTTCTGGGAGTCATCAATACCTTTGACCTGAATTCCAAGTTTTTTGAGGGCCTCTTCTACAGACTGGCTTTCTCGTTTTCTCATAAAGCCATTATCAATGTGCACAGCAATGATTTGATCTTGGTTCAAAGCACGATTCAGCAAAGCTGTACAAACTGTTGAGTCTACTCCACCACTGAGTAAAACCTATAGGGTGAAATGTAAAAGATCAAATTGATTAAAATAAGCAAAAAGGAAATAAAAACTTTCAGCTTAAATCGTTACCTAAGACACTGTTACCAAAGGAATGTATGGTAACTGAAAAAGTACTCTGAAACAGTGCAACTCTCAAAGTGTATAAACCCAGTCAGCACTGAAGGGCTATAATGTTGAGGAAGCCAGCTCTGAGCTCCAATATTATTACATAAATTCGTAGACTTTCGGATGTAAATTGCTTACCAAAACTTTTGATGTGCCTACTTTCTCTTTGATCTCTCGAATGCATTCCAGTTCTCTGTTCTGCACAGTGAAGGTCCCACTGCACCCAGCTATATCAAAGAGGAAGTTCTTCAATACTGCTTTCCCATTTTCTGTAAGGCCAACTTCAGGGTGGAACTGTACTCCATATAATTTTTTAGATTCATTTGCTATACCTTTACAGAAAAAATAATCACAAATTAAATTTTTTTCATATTGAAAAGACTCAACTAGTATTCACAATAATTCTTAATAATTTCTACCCCAATAAATGTGAAAATTGGTATGAGTTAGCTGGATTTTTAGCAACAGGAAAAAATAATAAAAATTCTATCATCATGATCTTTCTTTATAAAAGTTTTTCCTTATGCAGCAATAAGGAACTATGTGATAATAAAATAAGTCCTATAGAGATTATTTCACAGTAACCTCACTTCTCCACCTAGATTACTTCAATTGTCTTGACTAATAAATGCAATAACTCAATTTTGGTTCTCGGACCCATATGGCTTTCATCTAGAATGTGCAGGTACCAATTTTCTCTCTGAGAAGAACCTCATATATTAGACCAGATAAAATACTTCAAGTGTACCATTAACCACAAATAAATATAACTTCACTAACTGGGCTAATGTGATTCTGACAATTCTGATTAACTACTAGGCAGCAGATGTTTAGGCTAGATATTTCACATGTGCATGTATTACCCATTTATGGCTCTGAGATACCAAGAAACTTGCCTGAACTCACAGCTAGTTACGTAGTTAAAAACAGGCCTGGAGGCCTGTTTCATACTCTTTCTACTATACCAAAGCACCTCACACTTTCTTTACTTGGCTTCGAAGACATCACTTACTCTATTCACTTAATTATTTCATTGTCTGCTCCTTCTGAATCTTTTGTTAGTTCCTCTTCGTCTTATCCCTCTCCATACAGGCAAGTTGCCCACTACTCAGCCTTAAATCTCTTCTTTGTACATTCTGAGTGATCTCACTCTCATGACCTTAAATTCTACCCAAACCCTTGTTGGTACACTCCCAAATTTGTACCTCCAGCCCAGTTCCCTCCTCTCCAGTCCAGACTCATATATACAACTGTCTACTCATACCTTCATTTCAATTTTTAATAAGGCATCTTTAATTAAATATGCAAACACAAACTTATGCAATCTTCCCCATCAGGTAAACAGAAACGCCATCCTTGGGCTGCTCAGGCCGAAAAATTTGGGAGTTAAACTTGACCTTACCCTCATTCCCCCACTCCACATGCAAGCCCAAAAAGTATATCCTCTCCCGTCAAAACATGTCAGAATCCAGTCTAACTTCCTTTTCCAATCTGAAATGTAAAAAGCTGGAAGATGCCACTATGTCCTAACAAGATGTAAAAATCTGAATACTGCCCTTAGAGAGACTGACGGTGAATACAGAGAATGACAATTTAACGTAGCAGAAACCCATGGGTGCAAACTGCTGATGTGGGAAACCTGAACACAATTGATGAATTGCTAGAGGCTCAGCAAGAACAAATCTGAGAGACAAAAACTCCAAAAGAACCAAGTCTTCGGGGAACCCCACAATTTTGTGAATTTTATGGCCAGCAGGATTTGGTAAATTTTTCCTAGAAAGGACCAGAGTAAGTATTTTTAGCCTTTGCAGGCCCTACTGTCTCTAAAGCAACTAAAAGCATCAATAGACAATACCTTAAGTAATGGATGCTGCTGTGTTCCAATAAAACTTTAGTTATGAATACTGATATCTGAATTTCATTTATTTTCACATTATAAAATATAATTCTCTTAAAAAATTTTTTCCAACCATTTGAAAACATAAAAGCCATTCTTAGCTTGCAGGTTATAAAAAACAGGCAGTGAGCACGATTTGGCAGGAGGCTGTAGTTTGCTGATTCCTTGACTACAGGACAAAGTCCAAGTTCCTTATATTAAACCAAGAGTTGTCATTAAATGGCCACTGTCTAATTAATTTTACTTCTCATCTCCCTTTCATTCTCTACTCCAGCCATTCAAGCTAGCGTGATTACCAAAATAAACCATGTTCTCACCCCAGGTCTATGCAAAAAACCTGAAAGTATCAACAACAAAAAACACTCCTGAATAATAAATGATTAGAGCAGGACTGTAGGATACAGGTTAATACCAAAAGTTCATTGCTTTCTTATACACCAGCAATGAAGAAGTAGAATTTGAAATTTAAAACACAAAATAATTAACTCACTCACAAAAATGAAATACTTAGGTATATTAGTTAGGTATAATCTAGCAAAATATGTACAAGAGATCTCTATGAGAACCCAATTACTTCCTACCGCTCCCATCTCTACTACACTGTTCCTTACACCATTCTCTCCTTTCCCAATTACTACCATAGATTTCTACTGAGTCTCCCTGCTTCCACATTTGACTTTGTCTCTTTTCTTCTCATAATAGCCACAATAATCCTGAAATTAGATCACATATCTCCTTAACCCCACCTCACTATGAGTAAAGCAAATGGTTTCATAATGGCCTCAAAGGTCCTGTGTTCTAGTCCCCATAACCTCTTTGCCTCAACTGCTAACACTCTCCCTCATGTTTACTCCACTCCAACCAGTCTCATTGCTGTTCCTCGAACATGGTCCTATCCCAGAAGCTTTGTACTGCTCTTTCCTTTCTCCCCAAATATCCAGAAGGGTTTGCACTTCCTTACTTCATGTCCAATATCATCTTACGGAAATACCTTCTCTGAAGATCTAATAAAACAACCCTAATCACACATGTTCTGCAACCCTGCTTTCTTTACCTACTTTTTCCATGCACTTCATAAACACTGACAACCAACATAGTCTGTATCATCTGTCTCTCCCCTCCACTAGAAAGTAAACAAATATTTTGTCCATTTTGTTCATTACTGTGTCATGGCACATAGAACTGTGCATGGTAAATAGCAGATACTCAAATATTTGTTGAATGAATAAAAACACATAAGCCACCTACCACTGCTGATCTTTTACATGAAATAAAAACATGTCCCTATGAAAACCATTCTTGATCAATCTTATGCTAATTTATTAGCCTGTTAAGTAACTGAGGGCAGTTTACTTAATTCATTTTAGCCATGACAAATCTTTTTTTTCAACTTATTATTTGGATATGGCATTTCAAACAAAAAAGAACTTTATTAATTAACCCACTTTTTTCTTTTTTCCCAGAATTACTGGTAATTTATTTACATTATAGTTATCAAGTAAGCAAGTGATTACAAACAGCCAGAAAAGCAATTCCTCTTCTTCTTCTTCAAAAAAAAAACAGAACAAAAATGGTTTCAGAGTATGGGTTGACAAACTTTCTACAGAGAGCTAGATAGTAAAAATTTTAGGAATACACATGTACAGTCTCTTTTATTATAACCCTTTAATAATGTAAAAATAATTCTTAGTTCCATATAAAAAAAAGGCCTACTTGCTGGATTTGACCCAGTGGTCATTTTGCCAACTCTGGTTCAGAGAATCCTGTTTTGCAGCCATCTAAGATACATGCCTATGCATACCTAAGAAAGGCATTTTAAAAGGCAATTATAAACATAGCACCCTAGAAAAATGGACAGTTCCCAAATTTTTCCCGAGCTATAAAAGTATAGCTGCTGTTTTATATCTGAAAAACTTGATAGGATAAACATTTTAAAAAGTATTTCAGAGCAAACCAGTGACTTCTAGATAAACCTTCCAATACTAAATTTCCTTCACAAATTAATGATTAATCCTATGACATTTATGTTTTAAAAATAAGAAAAAAATCAAAAACAATATCTCATAAGAAACATATTTTAGATTCCTCAGATAAATTTTTTTAAATCTGCAAAATTTTATAATTTTCACCTGCCACGATGTTCCCAGAACGTGCCACAACCTTGAATCCATCAGCTACTTTGTCTACACTATCTCCATGAGTAAGCAAAACAATTTCTTCCTTCTCAAGGCCCCTAAACACACAAAAAGTAAAATATAACACATAAATGTTAATTAAAGACATGATTAATGGGTTCTTTTACTTTGTTTTTTTCCCAGCTTTATTGAGATATAATTAACCTAAACATCGTGCAAGTTTAAGGTGCACAACGTAATTATATATACAGTGAAATAACCACAGTGAGGTTAGTTAACACATCCATCATTTCACAGTTACATTTTTGTGTGTGTGTGGTGAGAACATTTAAGATCTACTCCTTAGCAACTTTCACTTATACAATACAGTGTTATAACTATAGTCACCATTGCTGTACATTAGATCTCCAGAATTCATTCATCTTGTAACTGGGAGTTTGTTCTTTTACTTTAGAAATTCTAGTTTAATCAGGAAAATAAAAATAAGCACATAACAGTGCAACATTGCTGGAATTTAAATTTTTTCTATCCATTATTTTAAAAAGCCAATAAAAGAATATTAAATCTAGGTCAAAAATTGGCTTTAAAATTTTGGTGGAGCCGAAACCGGTTTGGCTCAGTGGATAGAGCATCGGCCTGCGGACTGAAAGGTCCCAGGTTCGATTCCGGTCGGGGGCATGTACCTGGGTTGCGGGCACATCCCCAGTGGGAGATGTGCAGGAGGCAGCTGATCGATGTCTCTCTCTCATCGATGTTTCTAACTCTCTATCTCTCTCCCTTCCTCTCTGTAAAAAATCAATAAAATATATTGAAAAAAAAATCTGTAATTAAAAAAAAAAATTTGGTGGAAAAAAAACAAACAAAAAAGAAAGCAAGTGACTAACACTTAAATTTTCTGGTCTTTCAGAAAACTGAATGAAAACTCAGCAGTTTATGTGCTTTTTTTTAGTAAAGCAGAGATAAACAATTCTAGGAAGCTAGTGAACAGCTCATTCACCAGTTTTAAAGTTATACACCAAATATATTATCATGTAGCAATAAAATCAGTTAATAAATTCACTGTATAAAAAAGACAGCATACCAGGTACAGGTATGCTCAATGCAGATAAAGTTAGGAGGGAGACAAAGCACATATTAAGAAATGAGTCCAACAAATGGGTGGCTTGCTAAGTAACAATAAAAATGTGGTGGGGAAAGGTATATAAATGCATTTGGCAGACGCAGGACAGTTTACAACGGTATCCATCTGCCACATCTGGCATACCTGTTAGAATCACACTCTACATCAAAGAGCGAAAAGGGAAAACTACAAATGTTGGAATCACAATATGCAATCCCAAATAGATGTCCAAGACTGCAAAGGTGCTTTTAAATTACATAATAAGTGCTTTCCTTATTCCTGGTGAACATCACCACCTCCTCTGCTGTCACTCAACTGGAAGACAGATACTATGACAATTACACCTTTGGCCAATACTGAATTACAGTCTCCAATTTTGAAGCATAACATTCACAACTTTAAATTAATCTACTCCTATTCTCATTCATCTAAAAATATCTGTCATACCTGAATAATGAGCATGTGTTATCCATGGTAATACTGAAGACTCCATCTTCTCTAACATTTTTTTTGTGCACAGTACCTCCAAATACTTTATTCATCATCTGTTCAAAGATAAAATAAATTAATGTTAATATAAATCAAAAGAAAATTAGCTATTTTCTTAATTACCCTAAATTTCATAATTATATTCCTTGTTTTCAGGATATATTATGTCTGTGACCAAAAAATAAAAGGAGTTTGATAAATGTAGATACCTTGGCATTATTATATAATTATACAGTTAATTAAGAGACATAGTTATAAAACAAAACTAGATTAAAAATCTGACCTGAGGTTAATTTCTGTTCAATACCAGCAGATTTCCCATTTAGTGTACTTTAATTAATTAATCTGTTAAAAATAAGTTTCTCTAATACTTTCATCTGAGTTCAATTTAAAAAGTAATATGAGCTTAGAAAAGGCTATAGTAAACAACAGAAGATTTGTGGTATTAAAATTAGATATGTCTAAATTCCTCCAACCTGTTTAATCTGTGGTCCCAAAGGTACAGTCTGAAAGCTTGCAGAAGACTGTGCTATGGAGATGGGATAAGCAAAAAAAATCTGGTCTTTCAATTAAACTCATTTGTTCAAAGCCCATATACCTACAGACTTTTATTCCAAATGGCCTCTTCTTCCTGCCCTTCCTTGTGTCAGTCAATCAATCTTACTTACATTTACAAATGCCCAAACTCCCAACATCAAATAAATACAAACAAGATTTTTACAAACATTAAATTTGCATTGATATAATCATTACAATTCATCTTGATATGTCTGCTCCATAACAAGTGTCCTAAGATATCTGCCATAATAATGCATGATGCCAGTTGACCCAGACTCCATCAGAAAAGCAGGCAAATGCTACCTAAATGCTCATTCTTATAGTGCAGTGGCATATTCTTCAAAACCATCACCAAATGCTGCCATCTATATTCTCCTCTTAGGCATTCACAATAAGCCTTCCTGCAATGAAAGTTTGGGTTAAGCCTATTAGGAAAGAAACTTGCTAAACCTTGTTTAACCCTTTGTATGCCATAAGCATCTATAGACACAAGCTGGGATGGTTTCTGTTTTGGATGCATGACAGTTAACTAGTTAAACCCAACACAGGTATAACTCATTTTTATTGCGCTCACCACTTTATTGCTCTACACAGATTTTGCCTTTTTTTAAAAAAAAGCCCTAGAAGGTTTGGCTCAGCACCTAGAGCGTCGGCCTG